TGTGTCTGGAAGTATTTAAGGAGTTAAACAGTTGGGTCTCATTAGCGCATGGAATTTTAATGATAAAACAAATCTCAGAAAATTACCTCCAATCTAACACTAGACTGAAAATAACCATCAATTTTCATCTGTGTTTCCTTCTTTCATCTCAGCATCTAGTGCCTATCACTGCGGCATTGAAGTGCTCCTTCAGACTAATTAGATTAATTTCACTTTCCATTGTGTGCTAGAAGGACACACTTATCATCTCCCTCCCTGCTGAAGTCAATAATTGATCGGGTAGTGACAGGTTGGTAAAATCCTCCTCCTGCCAAGATAAAGAAAGGGCTGGACTGAGGGAGTTACTGAGGATTCATTTTTGAAACTGGAATTGTTTATTGTGCTTGTGATGTTGAGGACCAAGTCTGTTAATCTTTGCCATCTTTGCTCTGTGAAGAACTGGCCACACTGTACCTTCTAAATATAGCCAGTGTGGGCATGTGTCAGTGGGGGATGAAGCACAGGAAGAGGAGTAAGGGTGAGCAGGAGGGTGTGTTTTGGCGGGAAGGGATAGGGCGCAAAGGGGAAGGTATGCTGAACCTTGAGGGAGGATGTGTGGGTTTAAGTTCCAGTTCTGCCACTCACCAGCTGTGTGCCTTGAGAGATTTACTCACCCTCAAAGGGACCCAATTTTATGATCTATAAAATGGAGAGGGAGGATTTATTCAATTAATATTTATTGATCGCCTGCCATATGGCATGAACTCTGGTAGCTTCTGAGGATGCAAAAGTGAGCAAAGAGAAGTGGCACGTGTCCTTCACAGGGCTTTGAGTCAACTGGGGGAGAGAGGCATGAGTCAAGTGACACTGATGCAGTAAAATTGCAATAGCCAGAAATAGACAGCAGTCTGAGCGAGTAGAAGGGACTTGACCCATTCAGGGAGGAAAGACGTCTTGAGCTGAGTTATGATGAATTAATGTAGAGCAAACAGAATGTGCAAGGGAGGAAGCAAGTCAAGGGCATGGGATTGGAAGATGGACAGCTAAGGATCAAGGGAGCAAGTGAGATAAGGTCACAGAAGCGAGGTATATGGTGCGAGGATGCGGCATGGTCAGATCTGAGATTGAAAAAGATTGGTGGAGAACTTGGAGCAGAAAACCAAGAGTGGAACCACATCAAGCTATTGAAGTAGACCAGTCAAGAGATGATGGTTGCCTGCACTGGGTGGACAGAATGAAGAGATATTTCAGAGACACGATTGACAGAACTTGGTGATGAGTTAGGTTTAAAATGGAAGGAGAACATGTCCTTAAGAATGGACCCTTGGTTTCTGGATGGAATGACCCAGTGGATGGTGATGGCATTCGTAGACCGGGAACACTGGGAAAAGACCAGATTTGTGGGAGAGAATTATGTTCAGGACATAAGAGTTTGAGAGGAATTTGACTCATCAAAGAGGGTGATGGGATAACCCCTACAATCTCCCCAAGGGCTTGTTTGGAAAGTGGCATGAAGCAGTGGAAATACCCATCAGCTTTTCTCATACATGGGGCCCCAATCCCAGTTTGGCTCTTTGCAGTCTGAGTGACTTTAGTTTCATTAATTTATCTCAGCCTCTATTGTCTGTCAACAATTAGGGTAATGTCACCCCCTTTCAAGGTGGAAATGAGCTTTGGAAGTAAAGAAGGCAGCATTTCTAGCTTGGAGCCAGACACAAGGAAGAGCTGGACTTCTAAAATTTAACTTGCTCCAGGGCTTGTCGTTGGGATGAGATGTTCATCCATATACTGTCCTTTGTCAAGAAACTCCCATATATTATTCCAGACCAAAGGCCTTGTATTTGAAATTCACTTAATAAATGATTTTTTTTTTTTTTGTAGATCACCGTGACTGTTGTCCTAGGCCCCAGCTGCGCTCCATCCAAAGATATTCTGGTCTCTGCATGGGGCTCAGTGGAGTCAAGTTACAGTACAAGGTTCCCCAGAGGAAAATTTGGGGGTTGAATTCTCTCTGATGAAACTTCTTTTTGTTAGTAGCATGCAAGTGAATTACGTTCTCCAGTGGGTTCTTAAGAAAGGTAGTTTCTGGCAGCTGGCTCTGGTGCTGTGCATATAACCCCCCCAACCTCCCATATAAGGAAACATGTCCCTATGAAAAATGGACAGAATGATGGTGCTATAGGAAGAAATTTGCTTCTGTTTTTGTGAATGTGTGCCTGTGAGAGAGAGAGAGAGAAAGAGAAAGTTCATTCCAAATCTTGGCTTCTTTACTATTACTTGTTACCTGGAGTATACTTCACAACAGATCAAAAATCCACCATTTTGGTTATTTAATTCAACTTCTCATGGCCACTCCTGTCCTGGCCTAGAGCCTGAGAGATGACCTGCCATAGAAGAGTGATGAAGCTAAGATCATGATCTCACTCTTGAACTTTCCTTTGAAAAAAAAAAATGCAAAGGAATTTCGAAAGGTTTGAAGATTCCTGGAAACTTACTTCCCTACCACCACACAAAGCTAAGGTGGTTATTTCAGCACTCAAAGACTCTTCAACTTTTTACTTTCTAATGTATAGGGAAAAGGAGTCCTGCGTTCTGTAAACTTACTTATACCCCCAAATCCCCAAACATTCTAAATTACCGGTATTTCAATCCTAACTTGTTATTCCATCCAGATGCCATACGTGCTTTGTTCAATTAAAAAGAAACTCTGTTTAACAAGAAACTGTTTTCTTCCGGGCACTTAAAAACTTAGTACCCCTCTCTCCTTCCTTCTTCCCAAGTTTACTTACTTGTTAGGAAAATGGATTACTTTCATCAATTAAAAGGATTGTGGGCATGCGCACAGAGATAACCATCGTTATACATACTTACTTAGCATTGTGAAATTTGCAGGGTTCCCTGCAAAAGCTTTTAAAAATAGGAGGAATTAATTTGGTTGATACTTGATTACTTTTGTTTACAGCGCTTGCAATCTACCTTAGAGACAGCCGCCTTTTGGAAATGTTAGCAATTTAAAATATTGGAAACTGTGGGAAGATACAGAGTGGTGATAGTTTGGTGAAGGTGAGGAATGTAAGTATTTCCTTTTCAATTTAGCCATCAGTATCACTCAAATGATCAATACACCGGATCTATTAAGAGGGTCCAATCTTGCCTTCAGGGAGTTTTGCTTTTTTTTTCTTCCTGCTTTCCAGTGAGGTAAGAATGTGCTTACATGAATAGCAGGCAGTTGAAAATATGCCAACTTTATTCAATGTGGAAAAATTAAATTTGCCATTGAATTGAAGTTACTTCTTAATGCATGCCAATGTAGTTTTCTGTATATTTTAAATGGTGTTGTCATGCTTGTTACAGTCAATTCATGATTTTCTGTATTGATGAAAAACAGGGATGAGAGTGAATAAATCACTTTTTTAGCCAATCATTTCATACTTTCCTGCCAAACGTTTTGAAGGGTCTGACTGATTGATTTCCAGTAACTACCTTTATCTACCTGAAGAGTTGCTCATAAAGTTGTGGCCATGACCACAATGTGGAAGATAATGGGGAACTGAAGGATGTAAGGACCCACCAGAAATTGTTCCCTGAACAATAATGGGGCATAAAGA